CGTATATACTTTTACATATACACTGTATTTACACAGTTTACATACATATATACTTGTATACTGTCTGTGAGATGGTATTCTGACTAATATCAGTTGAGATGTTTAGGTTAATGTGTGAAGAACATAACATGCATGCATTATGTGGGTGGTTACATCAGAAAGCGTATTTGTGGTTTTCCATGTCAAGGGTATCTACATAACTCACTGAATCTAATTCAGAGTGTTTGAAATAATATTTCTAGTCTCTGATGTGGAACTGAGTGGAAAACACTTCGATCGTGAGGCTCTAGTAGCACTAGTACTAGTTTAGTAGAACATTCTGTTATCTGGTAGGATCACAGACATGATACTACACACATGGAAAGCCCTCCTTCGACTCTACCGTAAATTGTTCATGGGTGTTATTATGCTTTGTGTGACATTGTGTCTAAAAGATACATTGAGGTGATTTATCAGTTATGCCACACAGAAGGCAGGGGAAAGGTGCAAGGACACATATTAAAGAGGATGTACAGTGATTTTTAAATTTAAAGTGTTACTAAACCCAGACCCCTGCATTCACTATATCTGGTCTCCCACAGTACACAGAACATGGAAATGCAATTATTTTTAGTAAATATAAACTGCTAAATACCTTTCTTTTCAGCAGTATATAGCAGTCTTGTGACTTCTCTAAGTGTCCGGCTGAGCACTGGTTAAAGCTTGTAGGAGTTTTCATTCTCCTCCGACTATCCTATGAGGCTGCATAACCCCTGACCCTCTGTCTGAACAGCACTGATTGGCCTTGTGCCAATCATATGCACCCTCCGAAAAAAAAAAAACAAATTCTCTAGAAATACACACTCCTAGGTCTCTGTACTATCAGCAAATGGATTGGAGACTGTGGAAGAAGGGAAGGATCACAGAAGACAGGATCAAACAGCCTTTTTACATATTGCAGAGGATTAACCCTTTTAGCAAGACAAACAGAGCCTCAAACAAGTGGCTGCCGTGGTCTCCTTAGCTAACAACACACGGTGCTCTGGGAAGGCTTTGTCATATTCTATATTTATTTTTGTAAAAAAAATGTTTTATAGTAAAAACTTGCATAGGACAACCATTTAAAAATATATGAAATAAAAATAAACACTAAAATATAACTGATGCTTTGGAGTTTCTCTAGAATTGCTGTTTGAGAAGTTTATTTTACTCTAGTACAAATGCTGCAGAGTACGTCTTAGGAACTTTACTAGAGCTTTTGTGGTCCAAATTTAAATCTAAATTTAAGTCTAAATTTTCTAGAAAGCTTGTAGTACTCAGGGTAAGGTCAGAGCTTACTGCATTTTTTTAAAATTAGAAATCACAGCTTGAAATCTCTTCACTGAGCAGATAAACCATGAACAGCTCAATGGAAATCAATGGAAAATTGTTCTAATCCTGTCAGACATTTAGGTGTCCGTTTATGAACCAGCAGTAATAGATCTCTGCTCAGTTCTCTGGCATTCTCGGAGAACACAGTTCTCCTGTGAATGCAGTTTATGAAGCAGTTCTCCGAACGAAGGGAGAACGGTCTCCAAACGCTGGAGAACGGTCTACAAACTCTGGAAAACGGCTCATTTTACTATAATCTCGCAAGATTACAGTAAAAGATCAGTTTACTAAGCAGAGGTAAATTATCTCCGCTTAGTTTTCGGTCCCTCTGATTCTCCAGCTCTGGGCTGGAGAATCTGGATGGAGAACACAGATCTCCAGAGAAGGGCTGACATGATCTCCTGAGTGTCATAAACTGTGAATGACCAGAGAATAGCTGAGATCTGTTGAATGGCAGCTATTCTCTGTGTCATAAACGGACACCTGTGTGTTTTGGAGAGAAGACTATCTTGGCTGACAAAAAAATAGGCATGACATTACAGGTAAAAGCACATTTTTCGCAATCCTTCGAATACACTGCTCAAAAAAATTAAAGGAACACTTTTTAATCAATCAGAGTATAACATCAAGTCAATGAAACTCCTGGGATATTGATCTGGTCAGGTAAGTAGCAGAGGGGGTTGTTAATCAGTTTCAGCTGCTTTGGTGTTAGTGAAATTAACAACAGGTGCACTAGGTGGGCAACAATGAGACGACCCCATTTTTCTCCTACTCTTGGTTTTTCACTAGTTTTGCATTTGGCTAGGGTCAGTGTCACTACTGGTAGCATGTGGCGATACCTGGACCCTACAGAGGTTGCACAGGCAGTCCAACTCCTTCAGGATGGCACATCAATACGTGCCATTGCCAGAAGGTTTGCTGTGTCTCCCAGCACAGTCTCAAGAGCATGAAGGAGATTCCAGGAGACAGGCAGTTACTCTAGGAGAGCTGAACAGGGCCGTAGAAGGTCCTTAACCCATCAGAAGGAACAGTATCTGCTCCTTTGTGCAAGGAGGAACAGGATGAGCACTGCCAGAGCCCTACAAAATGACCTCCAGCAGGCCACTGGTGTGAATGTCTCTGACCAAACAATCAGAAACAGACTTCATGAGGGTGGCCTGAGGGCCCAATGTCCTCTAGTGGGCCCTGTACTCACTGCCTGGCACCATAGAGCTCTGTTGGCATTTGCCATTGAACACAAGTATTGGCAGGTAAGGGGACAGGAGTAACTTGACATGTTAGGTTTCAGCAGGGATGGGGGTCCTCCCTTGTTTATCTCAGCAGGGGCCGATGAATAAGGTTTCATTCACACAGGTGTATTTAGGAGTACATCCATGCGTAGGGCTGTGTTTTCCTGCATAGAATGCACAGGTGTTCCATGCATCCACGTGCAGGAAGTCCCATTAATGTCTACAGGGATGCAGGGACACTGCCCCTAGTCTTAATTTGACAGCTGCATAGGTGCGGGTGTGTGTCCCTGAATGAACATTGTCTGCATTTGGGGGAAATGCACCCAAACAGCTGTCAACTTGCGACCAGTGGCTGTGTCCATGCAGCTGCTGCATCCCTGTGTATATGAATGGGATCGCCAGCACAAGGATACACGGAACACCTGTGCATCCCATAAGGCAAACACAGACTTTTGCATGGATGTATGCTTGGATATGCCTATGTGAAGAAGGCCTAAGAGAGCAAAAGCATGCAGCTTCATCTTAAGTCCAATACTCTGTGGTGGGCTCTGTGCTTGGAATACTGCATTTCAATGGAAAGGCCCTGTGTCTTCAGCCCATTCCAAACCCAGCCAGGGCTTCTGTTAGAAACCACTGGGCCCCATACAGCCAAGCTGACAGGGCCCCCATCTTAAAACATAGTTTGCTATACTTCGGTTATGAATGAACACATTGAGTGTTCTGTACCGATCACTCATTGTGTTCATTCAGGAAAAACCCGGGCTGGTAAATGTGACATATTTACTGGAACCTTCCCTCACTCTCCATCCTGACAGATCCTTTTGTCCTAGTAGGATCCTATTGTCCTAGTGCTGTGGCAACGAAAGGAGGAAAGCCGGCAGCACTGTGGGTGTAGGGACACACAGGGGGGCCTGGGCAACAGGGGGAAATGTATGGTTCACAGGGAGGTTGATGGTTACGGTGGGGGGGGGCAAGTTATTGGAACTGATCCCCTGTATAGCTCTCTCTGCAGCAGCTGAAACCAGAAAGGAGAGAAGCTAGCTTTCAGCTGCTGCAGACAGAGCCATACAGGGGATCGGTTCCAATAACTGCCCTCTCTCCCACCATAATGATCACCCTCGCTGCCCACATCTGATTCACCCATCTGCCTGGGCCCCCCTGCTGGCCGGGGCCCCGTACAGGAGGACTGGTGGTACCCCCTTATTCACGGCCCTGCACCCAGCTCTGGCATTTCTGCCACTGCCTGGACAACCAGGCCAAGAGACTCCTTCTGCCTCTCTTCTATGGAGCCTATCCAGAGATCCCTGTGATCAACCACAGGGGCTACCAGTTACAGCCAATTTCTTTGTGAGAGGGGTGTTACACCCCTGCCTGAGAAACACTAATGACTGTGTTTGCACTAGATTAAATTGTACTGTGCCGTTTATTACTAGTAATTTCTTTTTATACTTTGTTCTCTTACATACTGTTATTCTCTATAGTGGTCTTTGTGGGAACTACCCCTAGGCAACCCCATACTACAATAGTTGCACTGTCTGTTATACTTTGCTTCATGCTTGGTACACAACCCTTTACCATTTTTTGGCACTGTCAATTTATCTTGTATTTATACAATAAACTTCGGGTTGCTCATTACTGTTTGTCTGATCATTCAGGTGATTTTTTTTTAATTAGGTAACATACTGTATATACTCATATATGTCCATTATTTCCTCTGCTCAGCTTCACTCTTGCAATTGTAGAGCTCCAACATATTAAGGGATTCAGGGGCTATGTACATTGACGGAGCTCTGTAGCATCTCAAACTGATCTTGAATGCAAGCAGCATGCTGGATTTGTTCACCGATGCAAGCCCCTAAAATCTGAGGCGATATTCCACTAATATGCTGACTATGAAGTAGCAAAGCAAAGCCCCTTGTTATGATGGCACTTTTCTCTTTACTAAAATGTCGGGACAGGGGCAGAAATCTTTGCCTGCATTACACAGATATTGGGCTCAGTTTTAATTGTGCCCCAATGTGAATAACAATTTGGTGCAAAATACACAGTGAGAAATTCTGACTAGCCGAGCCAAAATGGACATAAAATCAACTCTAGCACATGAAGCACACTAATCTATGTTTAATTCCACAACCAAAGCTTGCTAACCAAACAGTATAAGTGCAAATATATAAATGTTATTGTGTTATTGTTCTAAGAGTACCATGGACAGTGGAGGGGAACCTAGTAGAGTTTTTTCTTCTACAAACAGGTGGTTGATAGATGCCATACAACCAACATGAGCCCAGCCCAGACTTTCTAGACAGCTCAGGCCCATAATAATAACAATCTTTGAGACATACCACTTAATGTAAATACCATAAACTTGGTTTTTACAAAACTGAACAGCAATATTTAAATATTAAGTTTTAAATAAATTACCTTAAAATGTGCTTGTGAAAATAATTCTTCCAAGGAGTTGGGTGTAGAAAGATGTACATCACCAGGACTGAGCTTAAAAACAGTCTCCAAACACTGTACTGCAACTAAAAGAAAAAAAAATGTTAGTATCTGTATTACAACCTGTCACAGATTTTTTGCTGATTGCTATTATTTACTCCTGTACTGTTTACTTCTTTTGTGAAATGTGCATTATGTGAAATGTGACCAGATAAGAAGTGTGTTCTCTTACTAACAAATTTGTTGGCAAAGTAAAATTAACCGATGGATTTCCAGCTGCCGTAAAAAAACATTTCATTATCCATTTGTTTCTAATGGTACTTGTCATCAGATGACAGGCTGTGGCTTCATCTGTGGAATCAGCAACAACACCTGCCTCCCAGTTTGGTCATTCCATGACTATCTGGACAAGGTTGTTCAGTAAATGAGATACCGTATTTCTCTGTTGTCTTCCAGCAACCAGTTACAGTGTATAACAGGCATATTTTCTAGTGTATGGTGAACAAAAACAAACAAGGGCGCACTCCCATCATGCATTAACGTGGTACACTGCGTATTTATTGAAAAATAGTAGAAATATACTCACAAACTAAAAAGGTTAAAAACAGAACAGGTAATCCGTAAGGGCATTCCAATGGATTCAAACACCTATATGGGATAGGATAACGCATTTCGGGAGACAAACCCCCTTCCTCAGAGCTAAAATGTAGACCTGCTAGTCCAACTTAAGTAGGCCCTTTCTGTTTTTAACCTTTTTGGTTTGTGAGTATATTTCTACTATTTTTCAATAAATACGTGGTGTACCACGTTAATGCATGATGGGAGTGCGCCCTTGTTTGTTTTTGTTCACCATTACCTAGATTTCCCGATCTCTGAAGGGCTGCACCTCAACGTTTTGGCATTCAGAATTTTCTTTAGTCTGCATGAAGATTTGAGCCCTGGTTTTGTTTTGTTCTTTTGGATATATTTTTTAGTTTAGGATAAGGCTTCATATCCAGCATGCCTAAATCTCTTTCTTACTGTAAATATTTACAAATTAGAATACGCTATTCATCCTAACAAAAAGTCTGCGATAGGGTATGAGACGTGTGAAAACACTGGGTAGTTCTTGCTAAATAGAGTATCTGAAAAGGAACAGTACCCTTGGTAGCATGTTCATTTTAAGCATTTTTATCCTCCTCAGGCAAGTTAAAGCTGCCCTATCCCTGTCATGTTGATCCTTTTGAACGACCTGCATGAGAAGGGGAAAATTGGTCTTATAAAGCAATTGTGCATCCTTTGTAAGTTTATTAACCCAGATAATCATGGCCTGTTCCTGCCATGTGAAGGGAAAAGGCTTTGTCAGGGACCATCGCGACGCATGGGTCTACACATGCGTAGGTGTCTGTCAAGACATGCAGGCAGCAGGGCACTAGGACCCAGGCGCACCCGTCGTCTATGACAGTACTGGGCAGGCACTAGGACCTAGGCTGCCCCTGTCAGGTGCAGGGCGGGCTACTTAAGCCAGCCCTGAACAGACACTTGTTGCCGAATGGTCTTTGCATATCCTGTTGCCTGTGTTGTGAGTACTCTGATCTGGATTGTCTGACCTTGTTGCCTTCTCCTGTCCTGACCCCTTGGCTTGCCTGACTCTGCCCCTGGATGCTCCCTTATAGATCTGATCTTCTGGTATTGACCCTGCGTGTGACCCGACTATCCCTTGCCTACCGTCTTGTACCGCACCGACCCGCTAGTTACCGACACGGCCTGTTTGACTCTGATCTTGCTCATCCATGCATCCCCCAGGGATCCCCGGGCTCCCTCACATCAGACTCTTAAACCACAGGAGCCTCTGGCAGACTTCTCTACCTCTGGTAGAGATACCCGGTAGCTGCGACCTGGTCCCGGAGCGCTCAAAGTCCATCCCCACCATCAGGGGCCCTGGTGAACAAGTGCTCCGGTACTTAGACTCCGCACTCTGGGGAGGCTCTATCAGGGGACTGATAGAGGTGCTGTCAGGTGGTCCATTACAGTACCATTCGGCCATGACTGAGTCTGGAGGGAGGCCCTCTCCGCTAGAGGACATTTGCCGACATTTATCCGCCCTGACTCAGGCAGTAACTGTAGAGGCAGAGTCAAACAGGCCATGTCGGTAACTAGCGGGTCGGTGCGGTACAAGACGGTAGGCAAGGGATAGTCGGGTCACATGCAGGGTCAATACCAGAAGATCAGATCTATAAGGGAGCATCCAGGAGCAGTCAGGCAAGCCAAGGGGTCAGGACAGGAGAAGGCAACAAGGTCAGGCAATCCAGATCAGAGTACTTACAACACAGGCAACAGGATACGCAAAGAACATTCGGCAACAAGTGTCTGTTCAGGGCTGGTTTAAGTAGCCCGCCCTGCACCTGACAGGGGCAGCCTAGGTCCTAGTGCCTGCCCAGTACTGTCATAGACGACGGGTGCGCCTGGGTTCTAGTGCCCTGCTGCCTGCATGTCTTGTCAGACACCTACGCATGTGTAGACCCATGCGTCGTGATGGTCCCTGACAGGCTTTTTGAGATGGGCCATGTCCCAATTTGATAGGGTAATAGGAAGAACTTCTAAGACCTTACTAAGATTAATCTTAACTTGGACAGTTCTTGAAATCTGTCCAAATAAGCCATTGTATTTAAGAGTGAAAGTTGCAGCTTGGTAAAAAAAAAAAACAGGAAATCATCCTCGAAGATTACAGTTTTGTGCTTCCCTGAACCTATTATAACATCTGTTATACCTGGATTATCTCTTATTTTACACAAAAAGGCTTCTATCAAGACCACCAAAATCAGTGGGGACTGCGGGCATCTCTGACTTGTACCGTTATAAATACAAAATGGAGCAACTTATTGTTGATCTTTATCTTCATAGAGTGGTGACCATAAAGTGCACCAGTCCAATGGAGCATTTTTTCCTAATAATCTAAACACAAGAAGATCTTGTCTTCTCATCTGGTCAATTCTGTCAAATTCTTTTTCAGCATCCATAGAGAAAATGAGGTAGTGGATGTTTTGTTCTCTTACCCAGCATCTCAGAGAATACCTGATGACACCCTCCACCAGGTGCTACTGTTGCCGCCATCTTAGATTCCCTCTCAGCATCTGAGAGAGCAGTGTATTGCTCCCTGAAGTAGTGTATTTAGGTTTTGTGCTGCCCTAGGCAACACAAAAATTGTGCGCCCCCCAAATGAGAGAGCGAAAGAGTTCAATGAGTGTGTGTATATATATATGATATTCTCTCTCTCTCTTTCTTCCAAGCACATATTCCCCCCATTCCTCCTACCCACCACCACCCCAAACACCCCATTACACTTCCTGCTCCAGGCTTTCCCCTGGTCACAGTTCTGAGTGCGGGCAGGGGAAGGATCTCAGCGCCCACTCAGGAACACCAAGGCACCCCCTCAATCCGGCCAGGTTTGTCTCTCCCTCCAGCAGCAGAAAGCTGGTGGGAGAGAGAGGGGGAGAAATCAGCTTTCAGCTGCTGGAGGGAGAGATACACAGTGCATTGTTCCGCAACTTCTGCTTTCCCCACAACACCAATCCTCTTGCTGTCTGGGCCACCTACAGGAGTACCGGTGGTACCCCTCTGATGGTAGACCTGCATGGGTTAGTCCACCGCAGCTCACCAGGTATCTTCTGCCGGGGGGGGGCAGTGGCCCCACCTAAAGATTGCCACCCCACCTAAAGATTGCCGCCCTAGGCAAACACCTTGTTTGGCTTGCGGTAAATGCACCGCTGACTGTGTCCCTGTTCATTGCCATACCAGTGATATTGTCCCTAATAACCGCTACACCACTCCTGGTGTCACCTGACCTATGTAAGTCAGCAGTACTGTTCCTGACTGCTGCCACACTAGTCCCCAGTGTCACCAGACCAGTGCAACCAGCAACACCAGTGCCTGATCACCAGTGCAATGTTGCCTCTGCCTGCCGCCTGTACTAACCCTGACCTGTTTATTGACTTTGTTTCTGCTTGTTGCCTGGACTGATCCTTTGCCGGTTTGCTGACCATGTATTTGCCTGTGGCCTGAACTGGTCTATCTGTACGATTATGTTCCTGTGAGACACCAGTCCCAGCCATCCCCTGCAGACAACTGCACTCCTGGGACCATATAGATTTTTTTGTTCCACCTTTCTTCAGTCTTCTGTACTTCCTGGTCAGTTAACATGACATTTCTGGGGGCATCAATGTACCAGTCAACTAGGCTTAATTGGCTTATAGGAACTGGGACTGCTATAGATGACGATACACTAAGCTATATTCCCTGATTACTCATATAGAATCGACCATTACAGTACATTGGTTTTGATACAATTGGTTGATTTTTGTGATACACAAGATACGATGTCCATGTCAGGAAGGGGTTCACCTGCTGGTGGCACTGTGACCTATAGGCTGCAGTTCCGGTGTTCTCCAGCGAGAGTCTCTCTACAGCCAGAAGTTCATGGTAATTAGGCATAACCTGATGCTCATTGTAGGAAGTGTATTTAAACCCTACCTGTGCTTCTCTTCTTTGCCTTGATGTTTGTCCATCTGCCCCTGATCTGTGTTCCTGATCCTGGTTCTGACCCTGCAGCCTGATCCCTTACCTGCCTGCTTGTTCCTTCTCCCATTTACCCTCTCCATTTTCTGTCTTACTCGCTGCTCCTTCTGCCTGATCTCCCGTGTATGACCCTTGTTCTGACAACAACTACGCTTCTTGTACCTGCTCTTTCTATATATTTAGTTTGGGCAGTTGTTCACTGTTTGCTCACTCACTTATTAGATTCTGTGATTTGAGTTATACAGTTCTGATATATTGGAGGTGTATTTATATTTTGTTATTCACTTATTCTTAATAAATTACATTATTTTACTGTATTTGTGCCTGATGTTCTCTGTGCAAGTCTACACATTTCTAGTCACACCTGTTTCACAGGATACCAACACTTGGTATCCCTGACAGTTCTGTATATAATCAGTCCAAATAGTGAAAAAGTCTCACATATGTGGTATTGACATACTCAGAAGGAGTAGCAGAATGTGTTTTGGGGTGTCATTCTAAATATGCCCATGCTGTGTGTAAGATATTTCTTATTAAATTGACAACTTTGTGTAAAAATTTTCATTTTCTTTCTGCATTTTCAAAAAACTTGCAGCAAAAAATTAAGTCTTCAAAAGACTCTACATGCCTCTTAAAAATACATTGGGGTGTTTACTTGGTAATGTGGTAATTTTGGTGTTTTCACTTCTCTGGTGTTCCAGGGTCTCCCAAAATGTGATAGTTAGTCAGGAAATTGGATGTGTAATTTATGCCCCTAGAACACCTGAAGGTACTTGGATTTTGGGTCTCTCTCTGTGGCTAGACTGTGAATAAGTCTCACACATGTGGTATCGTCATACACGGGAGGAGTAGCAGAATGTGTTTTGGGCTGTAATTCTAAATATGCCTATAATGTGTGTTAAAAATATCCTATTCATTAAAAACTAAAGAAATACATTTTCATTCCTGCATTTTCCAAAAAACTTTTGGCAAAAAAATACATTTTCAAAAGACTCACTATGCCTTGCAGAAAATACAGTAGAGTGTCTGCTTTCCAAAATGGGGTCATTGTGTGGGTGTTTCTACTGTTCTGGTACTCTAGGGCCTCCAAAATGTGATAGGTAGTCAGGAAATTAGAAGTGTAATTAATACCCCTAGAATGCCTGAAGGTGCTCCTTGGATTTTGGACCCCTCTATGAAGCTAGGCTGTGAAAGGTTTAACACGTGTAGTACCTCCATACTCACAAAGTGTAGCAGAATGTGTTGTGGTGTGTAATTGTAAGTATGTCTATGCTGTGTGTGAGAAATAATGTTAAAATGACAATTTTGTAAAAAAAAAAAAAAAAAAAATGTAGTTCATTTTCCAAAAAATTGTGACAAAATAATTGCAACTTAAAAAAGAACCATGCCTATTATTAAATATATTGGACTGCCTACTTTTCAAAATATGGGTCATTTGGGGGGGGGGTATTTGTACTGTCCTGGCATTTTAGGGCCTCAAGAAATGAGATTGGGCAGTCATTACATCAGGGCTGATCAATTTTGAAATATATACACTATAGTTTGTAGACTCTATAACTTTTACACAGACTAAATAATATGCACGGATTTAGGGTTAATTTTATAGAAATGTAACAGAATACATTTTTGGACTAAATTTATTAAAAATGTATTTATTTGTGAAATTTTATAACAGAAACATTTTTTTCAAAATGTTTCCATATTTTTTTTAATTTAAGTATATTGCAGAAAACCCCCCAATGGTAATTAAACACCACCAAAAGAAAGTTCTGTCTAAAAAAAAAAATTTTACAAATGTAATTTGGCTACAGTGTTGCATGACTGACTAATTGTCCTTCAAATTGTGACAGTGCTGAAAGCTGAAAAACGGCCTGGACTGGAAGGGGGTGAAAGTGTCCAATTTTGAAGTGGATAAAGCCCAACTTTAGCCAAGACATTTTTATTAAAGTGAAGAAAGTTTCTGCCAGATTTTTTAATGCTGTTTGTGTCTCTGAGAGACTTGCCCTAACTTTTTGTCCTAGTAATTAATGTCAGACAGAAATGTAGCACACATTCAGCAACTAAAAACACAGACTTTTTAACCCTTCCACACATTATCCAAAACCATTTTGGTTGGAGTTTCCCTTTTTAGGTTTTTATTACTTTTTTCCTAATAAAATTGTTATATGTGACATTAATTCTATGCTTCCAGAGATTTATTTATAAACATATTTACATCTCAGCAAGGCAGTCAGGTATAAATAAATCTAGTGCACTGTATGATAAATGAGGTCACTTTAGCAGTAGAGGAAAAGGACAACTCAGCAATGTGTCAGGAAGCCAAGCCTATAACCTTTATTCATTAGTACACAGAAAGTGAGATGCAGAGAGGTGAACAGGAATTCTTGGGGTCTATCTCAACTGCATTCAGGCCAAAATATGATTGTATTTACATTTTCTTTCACTCTGTTTGACTCAAGACTAATAAATCAAGACATAAAACTCCTAGTTATACTACACACACTACAGAAAAAAATTAAAACATAATATTATACTTACCTACTCTGTGCAGTGGTTTTGCACAGAGAAGCCCCAATCCTCTCTTCCCGGGTCTCTCGCTGGCACTCCTGGCCCCTCCCTCCTGCCTAGTGCCCCCAAAGCAAGCAGCTTTCTATGGGAGAATCTGAGCCGCTGCTCTTTTTTTCCATTCACACATGGTGTGTGGCTCAGCCCTGCCTTGTCCCCTACTCTCTCCTCATTGGCCACTGGCTGTGATTGACAGTAGTGGGAGCCAATGGCTACCAACCAATGAGGAGGAAGACACCTGGGGGAGACAAGGCTCTCATGCATTGGGGCTGGGGGTGGGGGGTTCTGCACACAGAAGGTTTTCTACCTTGATCCATAGAGAATAAACCTTGAGCCTTTACAACCACTTTAAAGGTAAACACATTTTAATTTTAGAAGCACTTTTGCTTGTACATGATTGGATTAATGAAGTCTGCTTAGCTCCGTCTCATTCACCAAGCTCAGTGAAAATTGACTTTGAAAATTAAATAAGCTCTACTCTTTTTTAAATACCCCCCAATATGTAGTAATTGATCATTCGTTAATATTGATAGGAAAAACCTTTCTTTGCAATCACTGCTCCATCAAACCCTTTAAATATAGTCAAAGGGAAAGAATTAGAATTCAATGTAATCAGTCCTAAATATAAGAAATACTTTTGGTGGTCACCCTTGCTCATGCTCGCTCCTTAACCCCTACATACGTCGGTTAATGTAAGCTGTATATACGGTGTGTATATCACTCACGGATCTTAAACACCAGGCTATGTTGGAAACACGTATTACAATCTGGATGTGCTTTCTCCTACTATATTATTAATAGTTATGTAGTAGAAAGGCTAGATTCCCACTTTTCCAGGTGCTCTTTTTATATGCATAATTAACAATCATGTATTTCATGCACTGTAATTGTTATCAAAAAGTATATTGATGTACCAAAATGGACAACACAAGCCAACACATTGTGAATGTGCCTAAGATGTCTTCATTCATGCAGATGATATACAAGTAGTTTAAAACTGTACTACTGAGGGAAAAGCAAGCTATCCCTAGATAATGTACTGTACATACTTCATTCATTTCTCTTTCTAACCTTTAGGCCCTTACACATGAAGGGTCTCAGGTGTAAAAAGACTTGTGTTCGTTTACACCCACCTACCTTTTGATATGCTAACAAAAACAGAAGTGGATCTGTCCTTATCTGGCTGTAGTGGAGCATGCACTACTTTTGGTGCAGTGTGGTGTGATTTTAGCCCATTCAAAATGAATGGGCAAAAATTGCTCTACACAGAACTGCATGTAAATCGTACAAGAACGCACAGCGGGTTCCTGTGCGATCATGGTGTGAACCAGCCCTTAATTAAAAAAAACCTTCTTTTGCCATTTTTCATTCTTGGTTGCATCTCAGTGCTTCTGGTCACCTCTTTGCAGCCACCCCGTCTACACACAATCCAATGATGATGGCTGCATGACAATTCTTAAAGCAACTTTACTGATGGTGACAAGAGTGGACCATGCCAAGTGTGTCGAAGCGGTAATGTCTCCATCATCAAAAGCCTGAATGACAATGTCACAATGCGGGAGCACAACTGGAAGACAGAGACAGAGTGCTGTCATTTTATAGAATAAATAACTGAACCTGAAGGACATTCATGGCAGGATAAGTAGGTATTATTTTACTGGAAGCTGCAAATTGAGGCTTCATGCACACTGGGCTTTAGTAAACGCTTTTCTTCTAGCAGGAGAAAAGCAAATTAAAAACAGCATCTAAGCAGCATTTTTGCAAACTTGTTTTGGTCCGTCAAGCGCTTGGGCATTCATTTCACTGACCAGAATATTAATTTATTCTGACCATTGAAATGGAAAAAAAAATGCTCAAGAGCTAAATGCGCCTTAGACGAGACAGGCTTCTCTCCTGAGCTCAATTTTGGTACATTCATATTTCTGCCCCTACATGCCCCTAGATTCCTCTAAATACCTATGTGTGCATGGACACATAAGTTACCATAGGGTAGTATTTAGAGGCAGAAAAAAAAAGTAAAACATCTTTAAAACAGACGTTTGACAGCTGCAGTGTGCATGAGGCCTAACAAATACTGAAAATTACTTGAAATTACACTGACATTAAAGTGTGCAAGAAATTCTAGGGATTGGGTATATATATATATATATATATATATATATATATATATACGGTATATATAAACACACGTATCAGTTTAAATTACATTTACAATAAAAATATAACAAAACTATAAATCATGTCATGGAGTACATTTTTAATTTATGCATGAACCCTTCAGGAAACCCATTAATACAGAGCCATCATCATGTTCTTAGTAAGGGTAGCCTTTTACTATGAGGTTTAAGTGTTTCTTTTGCATGCTCTAATATGGCTCTAAAATTCACTGACCATGTTAATTATTTACCTTCTAAACTTTCTTGTTCATCTGCTGTGTACACATCCCGCTGACTCTGCTCTCTTAAGAATTGGATGATTGCATACACCAGACGCTTGACGGATGACATATTTTCAGCAGATCGGCAATACTTAACTCACTGTAACAAGGATAGAATTCAGAAAACTTAGAGACAAAAGAGGGAAGGTATACTTTCTTGTACCATAAGACATGATTTATCATTCAAGGCTAGTGAAAATACAAACACAGATTCACTGAGGGCTCATTCACACCACATCCTTTGGGATGGGCTAATCAACGTAGGCCCAATGCAGAGACATTTCAGAATCCTTTGTTTCCAATTGGCCCAGTTCAGACCAATGCTTTATACTACAACGCACTGCAGAGTGCAAAACGGTAAACACAATTAAGTATTTTGACTTCTGTTGTGAAAAAAAAAAACCACACAAACCTGAAACATGTTAAAATAACAGATGCCAATGCATGTCAACTAAAGTGCTTTTAGCGTATGCTAAATGTAATGCTCATAGTGTGAATCTAGCCTGAAGGTAAATAGGTAACATAATCCATGAAAAAAAATGAATCACATATATCTTCTTCATCTTTTTAACACTAACAGCAATAACAGCCCGCAGGCCCTTCAGCATTCAGTGAGTTTTCACGATGTTATCAAAAAAAGGGACTTCCTACCAATAGCACCAGTGCCTAATGCTAATGGGTACAAATCACTATGGTACCCCCAGTGCCCTGGAGGAGATATAGGCATGGGTGGACAGATGGGTTTATTTGTAAGCCACATAAACCCCGTATTGGACAAGCAGGTTGTGCTTCTGCCTTTGGTGAATTGGTAAAGGGGTCCTTTAAAACCTTTACCCTTTTGTTTGTAGCTGCAAAAGCCCCCCTCCCCTCCCATTTTATTGTCACTTTCTGGACACTGATGGACACTGGGGTATTATAGTACACCCAGGATGAAATGCCCTCATGGATAGTGCAGTGTAGCATATGAGGATATCTAAACCTACAAATAAACATGTAATATATTGTAGCCTACAAGACCTCAGATGTGGTGGCTGCTTTTCTTTTCTGTTTTTTTTTTTAACTAAGAACATGCCCTGCATATACAGAAAAACACCTGTTTAACCTATCAGAAACCATATGTAATTCTAATTTGCACTGAATTCATCTCAAACAATCGACTTTCCCAGCTAACTTCTGTGAAGTAGAAAACACTCCCCTCTATATAATGGAGATGAGGAGAGAGAAGGTGCTTGTAGTCCAAGTCAGGAGAGCAATCTGTGGTGTCAATGCTACCCCTCCATAAAGTGCAGTGTTGTCACCCTAGGACAGGAAGTGTGTTACTGGAAGAATCCAAAAGCTCCCCCACCAATAAAAGAATAAGAAAAGCGCAACCATTAAATCCAAGGGCTGGTATGTACAATATAACATATTTTTGATCTCATACATACATACATACATACACTTTAAAGTATAATACATGCCAAAACCTTTTTCTGTTTATTTTGGATGGAGTAGGGAATGGTTAAAACCCATGTAAGGTTGTTTGTCATCTGTGTCTTCTTAGGGAGATTTCTCTTCACTTCCTAACCTATAGACACATCAGGAAGTGAGAGGAAACCTCTTCAAATGCCCTTTTAGACAGCTGTCACCGAAATGTCCCCATTGGAAGGTTTCCCCTCCATATCTGTTCAGGTGACAACTCAACATTTTTGATTCTCCCATTACTTTTGGCTTCAATGACAGCAGTCTCCAGGACAAATATATAGAGTGATTCTCCCTAGCAGGGACATAGACAGCTAATAGTGGTTCTAATCCTTCCATATTCTACTTAAAAAACAAAAAAATATGCTTTAACAAGACTATGGGGATGATTTTGTAGAAAAACAAGTAGAGTGTTTGGTTGGTAAAGTAAATGTTCAGTTGGTATGTGAATGTGCATATGTTAGTAAATAAAGTGAAGCTGTATTCACTTTGAATTCTCAATCACGTGTAGGCAAGTGCACTTTATTTTCTGCACTGTAGATGGCACTGGTCTGGAGTGGTACTGTAGCTGGAGAGGAAGTCTAGGGAAACTTGGTTTCTCTATGATTCCTTTGGGTTTCCTGGAGCTGCGTTCCGGTTGGCTACGCTGCATCCAGGTGACCCTGGGGGCCATCTTGGGTCACGCAGAGTCTTTTAAGTTCCTGCACCCAGATTTCGGAATGCATTTGCGAATTGGCAAGTGTATGGAGAGCATACATATCTGTCAGTGACAGAACTAGTGGCAGGAACAGATTCCGGAAGAGTAGGGATAGCTCAGGGCCTATGTTTGCAAGCTTTCTTTTGGGTTGGACCTGCTAGGCCGCATTCCACTCTCCCTTGGCAAGCACCATCTTCAGTTTGGGCCTACTACAGCTGACCCTCCACTGCACTAACTGTAAGTTCCCAGACGGGTGAGCTCACCCGTCGGGTTATTGTACCTATTGCAAGTTCTTCAATGCACTAGTTACTGCACTGCGGGCCTCTTTGTGTTTACTGCAGCCTAGATTTGCCACCTTATTCCTTTAAAACCGAACACATATTAACCTCTTCACGCCAGTGTCTGGGCCTAGATGCTGAGCGGCCGCACATTTGTGTACAATTAAAAAAACATATGTGCGGAGAGCGCGCACCCTGCACGCTCCTGGCACACATGTTCGGTACTCACGGAAAGGTCCCGATCTCCTCTTTCGATCAGGACCTTTCCCGATCATGTGACCGCTGTGATGGCGAATCACAGCGGTCACATGACCCTAAAACCCCGCCCTGTCTCCCGGCTCCTGAAACCCTTAAAGGGCCGGGGAGGTGCCGGCGCCAAGGGGTTAATTACACAGGTTCTGAGGCTAATTTAATGCAGATAAGGCACTAAGTGAGTTTAATTACCACCTTAGTCAGCCACAGAACCTGTGTAATTAATATGTGTTCAGTTTTAAAGGGATGAGTTGGCAGCCCCACTGCAGCTGCACCATGCTACACCTACCCCACACTTGTGCTAATTCTTTCATTTCTCTTCCTTCCCTTTCCACATGATTGGGTACTCAACATGAACACAACTTCACCTTTATAGTAACCTACACTTTGCAATGTGAACTTTCAATTGCTAAAAGAATAACACCTAGTCATTTAGTAAATCAGCCCCAATGGCCTCTACAACAAAAAAATACTTCCCCAGGTAGAAGGTGCACCTGAAGGAATCTCAAAAATTTGGGAGATATGGGCGTTTCCGCATTCAGGCGTATCTGCAGGCTTTTTATAATCTTTATGCCTTTAGCAGTTTTTCTTATAGAGACACAATCACTTTACGGGGACTGTGTTCGTGGCAGATTTGAAGAGCTCCAAAGAGGCCCCTGAGATAATATTTGAGTTATGTCCAAGGGAAGTACATTAGTATAATCTGCTTTATATAAATAAGAGCAGATTGTCTCTGGAAGAGAAAAGGCTGCAGACACATTATTCAGCTGGCAACCAAATTCTGTATGTAAGTGCAGAGGCTGTGACCTGCACAACTAATATTTGGGCCTATTCAATAAAGAAGTGCAAAGGGCAATGATCGTGTAAACTGTAGTAATACATAGCAAGCAGATATCAGTAAAACAATAGGATTGGTTGCTGTTAGTTACTGTAGTGTGCACATTGCTTGTTGAATGTTTATAACCTGTTAGCTAGGAGAAACTTCCACGTTGTTTTCAGGAGTCAGGTGGAAACCTCGCATTTAGCTCATGACCATCAGGTAACAAGTTCTAAACTACTTCAGGATCACAGCCTTTCCCCCTGCATAAAACATTTATTTTTTAGGTAAATTGCAGCGTTACTTTCTAGTCCATATTCCAGGTCATTAAAAAAGACAAAAAAGAACTGGACAACCTACTGATCTTTAGGAGAGCAGTTCTCAATTACTGGGCCACAGTGTCCTTCCTCCTGGGCCCCACATCCTATCTGATCAAGAGCCTACATTCGGGATAGCCCTTAGCACTGCACAGCATGTAAGAGGCAGTCCAGTGCAGGTGTCCCCTGAACCAAGACACCCTCCTATGTGCAAATGGTGTGAATGGGTTCTTAATCAATATATAAACCAAAAAAAGCACACAAGTGTACACTATGCTTACTGTTACAATGTAGGTTAAGTGAGGGGGGGTAAGTCCTTTTTATAAAGATCCATATGCAATGAACAATCTGGTTCTTGCAACTCTCTTTTATGGTCTGGGTAGATCGATGCTGATATAAAGACAAAAATTGGACAAGAGCACGAGATCCAGTTAAAAGGCTGCATTGCTTTAATCCATATAAAATATAGCACACTTACAATCAAGCTGCTGTTAACCAACGTGGACCAATATGGACTATTCTTAGCACATCATCAGTAAGAATTGTGAATTAGTGGTTTAGAGTCCCAGTGTTGGTTGCTTGTGCACCCGCTCACTGTACCATACTATGGACACTCTTGAGTGGTGTTCTCCACCGCCATTAATACTGGTGACAGAGCCCCATGTTGAGGTTTGTAACAACAAAAATGTTTCAAGGGTGTTCTCTCTTTATCAAAGGGAAAATCCTTGAAATGCATTGCCACCCCCTCCCTTAACGTGAGGCTCTGTCACTAGAATTAATGGAAGCGGAGAACACAGCTTGAAGAATGTCCATAGTATGGTACAGTGAGTGGATCTGTAAGCAGCTGGCACTAGGACTCTCCACCGCTAACTCACAACCCTTACTGATGATGTGCTAAGGATAGTCCACATTGGTTCATGTTGGTTAAAAGTAGCCTAATTGTAAGTTTGCTCTGTTTTTTTACCTGCCTGGAGTTTAGCTTTAAATGATAAAGATCTCTAGGTTGTGAGCATAAAAGTGAGCGTAATGTAGACTGTTTTACTTACTGTCCCCTGAAATAAAAACATACGTGGTAACATTTTGATCACATGACATTGTATTGCACTTAAATATTTATCACCTAATACTGTAGAACGTATCACCATGATCATATAAACTTCACTGAAATTTTCGGGGTTAGTGTTGAGGGTTAGGTTCAGGGGCGGACTGACAACTCATGGGGCTCCCGGGCAATAGGGGATCATGGGG